AAAGGAAAAAAAAATCAAGGAAAATGAAAACCAGGGAAACTCATTCCAAATTAAGACAATGAAGATGGCATGATAAACCTCCAGAAACTGACATGAGTGAAGTGAGGATTTGTGATTGAACTGACTGGAGATTAAAAGTAATCATCAAAGAAATGCACTCAGAGTTCAAGATAGCAATGCAAAAATAAATGTAGAATTTTAACCAAGATTTTATATATATATATATATATATATATATATATATATTAGCAAAAAGAAATCATATATTATATATATATATATATATTAGCAAAAAGAAATCATATATATATATATATATATATATATATAAGCAAAATATATATATATTAGCAAAAAGAAATCATAGATCTAAATAATGCTATAACTGAATTAAAAAATTCAGTAGAGATTTACTAACAAACTATAGATGAATCAGAAGTAAAGCTTATTGAAGTTCGATAAAGCATAAAGAATAAAATGAGAAACCATGGTGATTTAAGTGACATAGGATACACCATAAATCATGACAGCCTATGCATTTTCTAAGTGACAGAAGGAGAAGTGGAGGAAAAACTGAAATATATTAAAATAAACAAGGCCAAAACATTCCAGGCCTGGAGAAAGAAATAGATCCAAATATGATTCTTCAAAAACTACCCACACTGAAACCTGTCATAAACAAACTGACAAACTGTAAAGACAGAACATTTTTAAAGAAGGGAATTGTGTACAATAGGATTATCCAGAGACAGTCAGAATATTTCTACATCAGAAACCTTACAGACTAACAGAGACCATTGAGATTCCATGTTTAACCTCTTGAAAGAAAAAAAAAAGTTATAAATCAAGAATATTTTAACCAGCAACCCTGTATTTTTAAAATTAAACAATGATAAAGACTTTCTGAAATAAACAAAGCATAGACAGTTTAAAATCACTAGAACTGCTTTATAAGAATTCTAAAGGGCTTATTTATTTATTTTTTTTACTTTGAAGAAAAGGGATAATAATTAGGTGCATGAAAATACACAACATATAAAATTCATGGGTAAAAGTACATTGTCAAATCAATATTCTAACATCATCATGGTGACTGATCAATTATCTCTCCCAGTATAGAGGTTAAAAAGTAAAATTATTAAAATAATTAAATATACAATATTTTATTAAGCATAAAAGTTATGAGAAATAAATTATATCATCAATACATAAAATATGAGAGAATAGCATGGAAATATAGTTTAAGTAGACAATGAAATTTAATAATAGTAATTTAATAATTCAACAAAATTAAATAATTTAACAACAAATCAACCAAAGTTGCCATCAGCTTAAAATAACCATTTGTATGTTCAAGTGGATTTATATAAGCCTCAAAGTAACCACAATGTAAATGTCTATGGTAGTGACATAACATATAAAAAAGAAAATACCTAAAACTTAGCACTGCAGAAAACCATAAAACTACAAAAGAAGGTTGTAATATAGGAAAAATGGAATAAAGGCTTCTTAAAACAACCAGAAAATAATGAGGTGGAACTAGTAAGTCCCAATGTCCAATAATTACATTGAATATAAATGCATTAAATTCTTTAATTGAAAAATCATAGAGTGCCTGAATAGATTGAAAAATTAAGACCTATCTATTTGCTGCCTACTGGAAATTCATGTTTCCTTAATGGACACCTATCGTTTGAGAGTGAAAGGAGAAGCAAAAGTCTTTAGTGCAAATGAAAAGAGAAAATAATAGGGCTACTTATGCTTACTTAAGACAAAAAAAATGACATTAAAACTGTAAGAAGAGGAAAGAAGACCATTATGTGCTGATAAAAGGGTCAATTCATCAAGAGGACATAACAATTATAAATATGAATGCACTCATATTGGAATTTCTAAATATATAAGGCAAACATTAGTGATCTGATGGGAGACATTAAAATGGGCAAAGAATATTGAGAGATAGTTCTTAAAAGAAAACACACATATGTTTAACTGGTATGTAAAAAATGGTAACATCTTTACAGATGTATGAAATGCATATTAAATTTACAATGAGATATTACCTCACATCCAGAGAATTTCGTTACTATCTGTTGAGGAGTATTTTTGTAGATTAAAAAAATACAAACTTCCAATTGTTTTTAATTTTGAAAGGAAATACTAAGAATAATAACAAACTAAATTATTTTTGAACAAAATATTTGATTTTTATATTGATTTTTCCATGTCAAAATTCTTATGTGAGTCAATGTTGCACATATGACTCTATCATTAAGACAATAATTCACAAAGTCAGTATATTTCTACATTTGATCACTAATTACTAGCCTAAAATTCTTTAAAAAATAATATCAAACGATTATTTTTGAAAATCCTCATTTCAGTTTTCATAGGGGACACAGAGAATAAACATTGATCTTGTCCCTAAGGTCTTACATGCAGTAGATAAGCTTTGGTAGAATAAACTAGTCTTTACTCAAGTGTGTATATGTGTGAAGAATGTGGTTTAATCCTAAAATTAATGTGGGTGATGTCTTTCCTTTGGGGACTGAGAGTATGGCAACAGGAAATATTGTCTTTAAAGATTCCTTTGATATGCATACTTATAGCATCATTATTCATAATAATGAAAATGTAGAAACAAATCATAACTGGTGAATGGATAATGAAAATATATTACATACATGAAAATAAATGTTATTCAGCTATGCAAAATAGGGTTTTCTGACACATGAAAAATCATAGATGATTCCTGGAAATATTAGACTCAGTGAAAGAAGCCTGAGACACATGGCCATATATTTTAGACTTCTGTTGATATGTACTCTCCTGATTAGGAAACACACAGCCTCAGAAGAGGTTAAAGATTGCCAGGGCTAGCAGAAAAGGGAGAAGTAAGGTGCAGGCTAAGAGACGTTTTTCTTACTAAAATGATAACAAATGTTCAGTGATTGGATAGTGTTGGTGGCTGCACAGCCTTATGAATACACAAATGAAATGTTTATTTTAAAAGGAAGAATATAGCCAGGCCTATAATCCCAGCTGCTCAGAAGGCTGAGAAGGGAGAATTGCAGGTTCAAAAACAGCCTCAGCAAAAGTGAGGTGATGAGCCACTCAGTGAGACCCTGTCTCTAAATAAAATACAAAAAAGGGCTGGGGATGTGGTTCAATGGTCCAGTGCCCCTGAGTTCAATCCCCGGTAGCCGCCCCCACCAAAAAGGAAGAAAAAATAGCCTATTAATCATAACATTAAAAAAAATGATATCAAAGGGTAATAATGTTCCTAATGTGAGATGATAAAGGAAAATGTTTCAAAAATCAAGAACTGAAGAACAATATAAGAGTTAGGAGTGATTGAAGAACTGTATGAGTTTCATTTGATTTCCACTTTGGAGAGTGACAATTTTGATTTTACGTAGCAGTATGTATATATACTTTATAGTTTTTTTCCTGCTAGAGATCAATTTGGTGAAAATAGTAAAGAATTGAAGTTTAACATTAGCTAAGTCATTGCGTTATACACAGGGGCAATACTGAACCATGAATCTAATTAACACATCAAACCCTGAGGGAAAGAGCTTCAGAAACTGAAGTCCCAGTTGCTACCGAGTAAAATAAAATGCTAATTGCTGAGTGTTCGGCTACCAAAGACCTGCTCATCTCAGGTAGGTTCTCAAGTCTCCAGATGTAAAGACAAAGGGAACAATTTTTCAAATATTATTTCTTTAGGAAAAAAATGAGAATTTTGTAAAGGAATTGTTTTTATGTTTGTTCACTGACATCCATAGATTATTCTATCTAATGCCTGAAGATGATCGTCTTCCCCCTCCGAATAGGAAAAAAATGATTGAATTAAATAATATCCACATAATAACATTGAAAGTATTGTATTTTAGAATAGTTATACATGAAAATGCCAATTTCTTTTATTATTATGCATGCACATACTTACATGAATTGAAGGAGTGTTTAAGTTTGTTTCATGTCAAAAACCTTTGACTTACTATGTTATGGATAACAATATATACAAATTCAACTTCATGTGAGCTACATAGTCTCTTAGACTTTAAAATAACCCACTAATACACATCACCTACATTTCAGTTCTCATATTTCAAGAAAAACATACTAGTACCAGACATAGGCATGAATATATATATACCAAGAGGCTTGTATATCTACGAAAATGAACAGATATTGATCCTAATTCTGTTTCCATTTTTAATACAAAAAAATGTAATGAAAAGCAAGGGGGTGTGTTAAATTCTGTCCATTTTGCCTTCTTTTAACAGACTTCTTTGGTCATAGGACTTATCTTTTGGTACCAGACCACTTCCATAAACAGGTAATGAGTACTTTAGTAAAATTAAAACAGACTCTTGAAATGGTAAATAGAACTTATTTCATGTCTAATCAAATACTAAAGAATCACAGGCCAATAGAGTAACAGTAATTTTCAGAAGTAATTGGGATTTGCTCCATATTTCTAGAATGAGCACAAATGTCTTTTCAATAAGTCATGAATTTTTTTAGAAATATAGTGAGAGTAATCAATTTATTCTTTGTCCATACAAATTTCTTTATGCATATAAAATTCTTATTCCTATATCTTACAAGTTGTCTCTCTGGCATCTGTGTTTCTCCATATCATTTTGAATACCAAATGTGATTTCCATGTATGCAATTCTACCTCTTGAAACAAATAAAGTAGGAAACAAATTTTGGGGACTTGTGGAAAGTCAGAGATCATGAATGGCATGTAGAATTATATCAGTTTCTGTACTGCCTACCTCAATATTTATTTTTTTATATCCACTTTCAAAAACATAACCATGATTTGTAAGAAATGAAATATGGTGGGCAATTTTCCTTGGGTAATAATGACAATAAGGAAACCAATGTTATTCTGTCTTAGCAATATATCATTGATGTTCAAAAGTGCAAAATGTGCATTTGTAATTTTTTCATTGTATTTTAGAAGTTTTGAATAAGAAGAGAGTAAAATGGACAGAAAAAATTGCTCCTCATTGACTGAATTTATTTTCATGGGAATTACCAATAATCCTGAGATGAAAGTGACCCTATTTACAATATTTCTACTTGTTTATCTCATTAATCTTTTGGGAAATCTTGGAATGATCTTCTTAATCAGAGTGGATCCCCAGCTTCACACTCCAATGTACTTTTTTCTCAGCCACCTCTCTTTCTGTGACCTCTGCTATTCCACAGCAATTGGGCCCAAGATGCTGGTCGACATATTTGGCAAGAACAAGTCAATTCCTTTCTTTGCCTGTGCTCTGCAGTTCTTCATCTCCTGCACCTTTGCAGATTCCGAGTGTGTCCTGCTGGCAGTGATGGCCTTTGATCGGTACAAGGCCATTAGCAACCCCCTGCACTACACAGCAGAAATGTCCAGCAAGGTATGCTTCCTGCTCATGGCTGGAGTTTACCTGGTGGGAACAGCAGATGCTTTGTTACACACAACATTGGCATTCCGCTTATGTTTCTGTGGGTCTAACGAGATTAATCATTTCTTCTGTGATTTACCTCCACTTTTCTTCCTTTCTTGTTCTAATATACAAGTGAATCAACTAGTATTATTCACCATTTTTGGTTTGATTGAATTAAGTACCATTTCCGGAGTCCTGGTCTCTTATGGCTACATCATCTCATCAGTCTTAAAGATCCGCTCTGCTGAAGGGAGGCTCAAAGCTTTCTCCACCTGTGCCTCCCACTTAACTGCTGTTGCAATTTTCCAGGGCACCATGCTCTTCACATATTTCCGGCCAAGTTCTTCTTACTCTCTAGATCAGGACAAAATGACCTCACTGTTTTACACCCTTGTGATTCCCATGATGAACCCTCTGATTTATAGCCTACGTAACAAGGATGTGAAAGCGGCCCTGCAAAAACTTAAAAATAAATGGTGTTTTTAAATATTTATACCAAGTCCCAACCCCTTGCACATATGTAGTAATTTTTATTTCATAAAATCATATGGTAAAATTTATGCAAAAGATTTTCTAAAGTTCTTTATGATAATGATAATTAGTACTCAAATCCAATAATAGGAAAATGTAGCTCCCCAAACATGCCATGCTCCATTATGTGTCTTCTACTTTCCCTCACTATTTTGCCCAGGCTGGCTTCTCACCTGCAATATTCTTGCCTTATCTCATGAGTTGCAGGGATTAAGGGAATTTATCATTATGCCTGGCTATCCATTTTTGTCTTGAATTTCAATATAGTAAGTACTATGTCTCTATGAAAATATCTCTATCTTGGCCAAGTTTTTATTTGCTCATTCTTTCATTCAGGTTGTTATTTCAATTATATTAAAATTTACAATGTTTTTATTAAGTGCTCTAGGAATTGAAATGTTTTTATTTTCTTTAGTAATGAATCCTATAAACAAGTGGAAGTATAATGCATTAATTGTCTAAGGATACTGATAACTCACAATAAGACTTAAACCTTCATGAAGCCAAAAGGCTAGGAAATAACAAAATGTCTAAATTGGTTGTGTAGGAGAGTGTCTTCCTTGGACTGAGAATCTCAATCCAGATCTGGGGAAATGCAAATTAGGTAAAGGAATGGATCCTGGGCAGAAGGTCTGGGAATTAGAAAGGTCCTGACATAGACAAGTGACAAGTCTTGTCTTTTTAGAAGCAAAGCTTTTCAACATTCTTGAAGAACGATGAATAGAGGCTTTTTAAAGATAATCCTTGTGCACTAACTGTTAACTATCCATCTCCATCACATCCTCCAGGAAGCTCTTTCCCTTATTCCCTGGTTCTTTGTTCTGCTTAAATGAACCTTTTTTTTTTTTTTTTTTTTTAGTTTGGACAACTATCTCCTTAAAGAATTGTCTTAATATCACTCTGCATGTGAAATGATTTGCTTCCAATACAAACTTGTGCATGTCCTTTGCTCAAGGACAAAGTAAGCCACCATTTTATCTAAAGCCCTTGCATTGCCTTTGTGAGAAGACACAGGGAAACAAACAAAGCAATAAGGAAATACAAACATGAGACATTTATGATGTTGTTATATGCCAGTAAATCTAAAGTAACTTATTAGGTAGGGCATGTGCCTTAAAACACAGACACACACACACAAACACACACGTTTAATACATATGTACAACAACATTTAATAAATTATGTATAATATAAAATAGGTGTGGATACCATGGTAATAAATCTATAAGGAAATAGTGATTTTATGGGAAGTAAACTGCATTCATGTATGCATACTCATAATACTCACTTATTTCATCTTTGTCTACTCTAGTTTTCTTTTCCCTAAAGCAGTGAATCAGCTCTTTGAGAAAATATGGATTTGACCATATATTTGAAGGATTACATATGACTCAAAGGTAGACTTTCTTACCTTACCACTAAGAACTAATGGATGTCTTCTAGTTAAGTGCCTTTCTGAAAATATTTGAGAATAGAATGAGAGCCCAAGAATCCCCTCTGCCTTTCGAGGTAACATTAATGATTCAAACTAATGCATTAGATATTACCATGATGGAGAAAACCCATGATGAATGTTTTTTTTAAACAGGTGTTAAAGATTTCCACTTGTATCATATTTCTTTTTTAAATTATTTTTATTTATATATGACAGTAGAATGCATTACAATTCTTATTACACATATAGAGCACAATTTTTAATATCTCTGGTTATATACAATTCCTATCTTCATAAATATACTTTGGATAATAATGTCCATCACATTCCACCATCATTGCAAACCCATGCCCCCACCCCTCTTCCATATCTAGAGTTTGTCTATTCCTCCCATGATCCCACTCCCTACGTCACTATGAATCAGCCTCCTTATATCAGATAAAATATTTGGTATTTGTTTTTTGGGATTGGCTAACTTCACTTAGCATTATCTTCTCTAACTCCATCCATTTACCTGCAAATGCCATGATTTTATTCTCTTTTATTGCTGAGTAATATTCCATTGTATGCATATGCCACATTTTTTATACATTTATCTATTGAAGGGAATCTAGTTGGTTCCACAGTTTAGCTATTGTGAATTGTGCTGCTATAAACATAGATGTGGCTGCGTCCCTGTAGTATGCTGTTTTAAGTCTTTAGGTATAGACTGAGGAAAGGGATAGCTGGGTCAAATGTTTGTTCCATTTAAAATTTTCCAAGAAATCTCCATATTGCTTTCCATATTGGCTGCACCAATTTGCAGTCCCACCAGCAGTGTATCAGTGTACCTTTTTCCCCACATCCTCCCCCAAACTTATTGTTGTTTGTATTCATAATAGCTGCCATTCTGCCTGGAATGAGATGAAATCTTAGAGTGATTTTAATTTGCATTCGTCTAATTGCTAGCGATGATGAACATTTTTTTATATATTTTTGATTGATTGTATATCACATTCTAAGAAATGTCTGTTCTGGGCTTTGGCCCATTTATTGATTGGGTTATTTGATTTTTGGTGTTTAGCTCTTTGAGTTCTTTAAATACTCTAGAGATTAGTGCTTTATATGATGTATGAGGGGGTGAAGATTTGCTCTCCAGATGTAGGCTCTCTGTGTACCTCACAGATTGTTTCTTTTGCTGAGAAGAAACTTTTTAGTTTGAATTCGTTCCATTTGTTGATTTTTTATTGTAATTCTTGAGCCAAATGAGTCTTATTAAGGAAGTTGGGGCGTAATCCCACATGATGGAGTTTAGGGCCAACTTTTTCTTCTATTAGACACAGGGTCTCTGGTTGTGTTCCTAAGTCCCGATCCATTTTGAGTGGAGTTTTGTGCATGGCGAGAGATAGGGGTGTAATTTTATTTTGTTGCATATGGATTTCCAGTTTTCCCAGCATCATTTGTTGAAGAGGCTATCTTTTCTCCAATGCATGGTTTTGGTTCTTTAATCCATCCTCAAGAGATTTTAAAAAATAAACTTTAATGAAATTTTTTGACTCTCCTACAGAATAGCTAAAATTAAAACAACTGAAATATCAAGTAATGCGAAAATATGAAGCAACTGTGGTTCTTACAGAATGATGGAGAAAAGACCATTGGCATTCTACATTCTAAAATTGTGTGGAAGTATCTACTGTACCTGGCTGCATATACAGATGACTTATAATCCCAAAATTCCATCCTTAGATTCATACTCAAACTGAACTATTAATAATGTGTACCCAAGGACATGTACACAAATATTCAGTCTTGCATTATTTGCAGCATCATAAAATTCAAATATTTCAAATATTATCAACCCTTCATATCAGGAGTTGACATAGTAAATGTCATACAGTACAAATTTTAGGGTTTTCAGGGTATAAAACCCCCTTTTCAAACCACTCAGATTTGTCTTAAACCATAAAAGCAATAATAGATAATATACTAATAAAATGTTATTTCTGAATCCCAACAACTTTTGTGGACCCTATGTTGCTAATTTATGTTAGTTGATAAGTAACTTTATGGTGAATTTGTACATTGAGATATTAAACAATAACAAGAATGAATGAACTTTCTCTCTACACAACATGTAAGAATTTTGCAAGATAATGTTGAATGAATAAAGACAAACATGAAAGCGAAAGACATCTATGTTATTATTCTTATCAGGTACCTAACACAACATACAAACTATCCTATGATATTAGAAATCTATTTGTCATGGATGCGGGGTCAGTTTCTGGGATGCTGTAATTTTTTTTTTTTTTTTGTCCTGGTTCAGAACAAACGGATGCTTTCATTTTTAAAAATGTACCTGCAATACAATTTCAATAGGTAATTCCAATATGCATATTGTACCCTAATGTGGTTTTCTAAAATAAAGCATATCACTGCCAGATTTTAAGTAAATGCAAGGTAATATTAGTTTTAAAGTGTATCTGTGTTTTTCTACAGAATTATTTGTAACAAGTTTATAAAACTAAGTTGGCGCACAAATTCCATAGAATGTCTCAGTAAATAATTGATCTTTTGCTACTGAAAGTGCTGCCTTGTTTGTAGAATATCTTCATAAGCTCAAAGGCACTAGATTCTTTCCCCAGCATTAGGAAGACTTGGTGTACTTTGCTGGGTGTCATGGGGTGTCCCAGCACCCCATACTTTGGAGCCAGACAGCTATTTTCTGGAGAAGGTGCTTTTCTAGACAGACAGTTGTGTATATGTTATTATGTCACCCAGAAAAACCTTAAATATGGATATATTTTTCTGAGTTTGTTCCATATGGTGAATAACAAGTCCTGAAATCATTACTTAAAAATTTCATTATGAATGAAAATGCAAATCTCTATGTAGTCAAATTTGATTATCTAATTTGTAACATCAGTGTAGCTTTATAAGCTTAGGTTCCAAATGAGGGTATGGGTGTGTATTGTAGTCTGTGTGCTTTAGAGGAGAAACAGTTGAAGAAGCTGAAACTGCTTAACTTTTTGACACATGCTACACTATGGATGACATATTGAAACAGTAAGCTAAGTGAAAGAAGTTGTACATAGAAAGCTACATTTTTGTCGATGCATTTTTATAACCATAGAGCAGACAAAGCTATAGAGACAATAAATAAGTTGATTTCCAGTGCTGGGGGATGGGTGCGTGGGTAGTACATGCTTAATGGATAAAAGGTGTCTTATTTGATGAAAGTGCCTTAGAATCAGACAGTGTTGATGGTTATATAAATGGAAATTGTATATGTTATTTTATTTATGTTATGTTAATTTTATGTTACATGAATTTTACTTTAATTCAAAAATTGGCTAAAAAATAAAGCAGATATCTGACTAAAGCAAATGTAACCCAAAGACAGGGAGGCATCTAAGGTGACAGTTGTTTACAGAAAGAAAAGGTGGGTGTCCAGGGACAAATCCATGTCTTCCAGATATCCACCAGAGAAGTAAATAGCAGTCAGGAAGCTTTGGGATAGTACAAATGCATTACTTTCTCG